TCCGTAAGGGCTTATGGGTTGGGTTGTAGGAGCCGAGGGTGAGGAGAAGGAGCAGATAAGAGTGTATGGAGTGTAAGCAGGAGCTGGATGCACAGGGCACAAAACCGGCCTCAGTCAGCCCACTTTCTGAGGCAGGTTGGAACCGGAACCACGTCAGGAGTAGAGGAGAAGGACAGGCAGCCTGCAAAGAGTCTACTTAAGGAGAAAGCTGGAGAAAATGAGCATGCAAGAGGACAGTGAAACAGTAAAATAAGGAAAAAAGACAAGAAAAGTGAATGAAGAAAACATGTATTTCTTCATTTTTGTTTATTCACAACTGCCATCCTCGAAGTGCTGGTAGATATGATTACAGTTAGTCTGATGAGAAGATTTTATGTGACAAACTTGGGGTCGATAGCAGATAGTAGCTTAAGAAAGTGATCACCAGATAAAATGCCCCAGTACAGTGCTCTTCACAAATAAATTTTAAAGGAAAGAACGAATAAAAAGATGGGCTATCATGGGATTATGGGATTCTCAGTCTCTACTGCTTTGGAAAAATAACTTGTAATACTGGATGTTTGCTATATTGAAATTGAAATATTTCAAGTGATGGTCCAATAATATTTGAGTAATAATCCAACCTAGACATCTTGAGAGTAATACTTAAGACTTATTAACTATTAAAAAATCAGTATTATTATGAAATACTGTTGGTACATTCTGATAGATTTTCACTTTGTAGGGAAAAGCCAACATGTATTTTGTTGTACAAAGGACAGTTTGTTTATTTACTTATAAAAATATTTATTCATTTGAGAAAGAGAGAGAGAGGGAGAGATATCGAGAGAAAGCATGAGCAGGTGGGGAGAGGGAGAAGCAGGCTCCCTGCTGAGCAGGAACCCCAATGCAGGGCTCCATCCCAGGACCCTGAGATCATGATCTGAACTGAAGGCAGATGCTTAATTGACTGAGCCACCCAGGCACCCCTACAAAGGACATTTAAAAAAATCCTTTTCTGAACCCATTTTGCTACTTATTACTCTGTGTGTAGTACTTCCTATTATTGTAATTTCATTGTGCTTCAGTTCTTCTGGAAAGTTTTTGAAAGTCAAGTAGAAATCAGCCATAGTTTGTGCCCATTTAGATATAACTAAATTATTAAATTGCACACACTGTGGTGCTGTTCCTACGGCAAGAGTATCTTCCAGATACTCTTTTTAGTAGGTCATTGAATCTTTTTTACTTTATGGAGCGGTAAGAAATGCATGAAGAGATTTGAATTTAAGGAGGCTGTCTTGCATGTATATCTGGGCATTGGCATTTAGAGTCTATAAAATAAATTGGCAGTGAATGTTTTATTTACCCGTCAGAATCTCAGCTACATCATCAAGTAGTACTTTGCCAGATATATTGGAATACACTTGATGATACAAAAATGGAGTGTAGAGTGTTTAATCAAAAATATTTGTGTGCAGGTCTCATAAGGATTTTAATGTCATTTAAATATCTGTATACATAATGTAGAAGCAAAATTACTTGAAGAGTAAAACTGGCCAACTGTCATATTTATTCCTTTTTATATGAGCAAAGTAGTCCCTATTTGTTGAAATGTATTTCAGATTAAGAATTGTTATAATAGCTCACCTGTCTAAATTGCCAAGGTTTTTGATAAAGGTGGCAGCATGAATGACAGCTGCAAACCCAAGGTTAGACTGCAGAGTCAATTTCTCTCTGGCTTTCTCTCCTTTTAAGCCTCCTTTTCATGTGTAGCCAAGTGAAATGTAAGCTCTGCGGATCCTCAGGGGCCTTGGCCTGATGAGAGGGTACAGAAGAAAGGCAGCAGTTTGGAAAGCCTGCCGAAGGCACGGAGGGCAAAGGGCCCAGGCGATGACATGACTCCCAGACCTTTCTAAGGAGATGAATGAGAAGGCAGTGCCTCCGTGGGCCCCGGATGTATTTTACCCACAAAAGAAGTCCAAGGCTATCAAACCAATTGTTTTGGCTTTATCCTTCAGATGTTGCAAAAGGAAAATGCATTCTTTTATGGCTCTTCCAAGTCGTTTGACCATTTATCCTTAATCATCTGCAGTCTGTGTGGGAATAAGCCTTTAAAAGATCACTGAACTTTGCTTGATTTGAAATCAGAGTAGAATTCATTTTATTTAATGTGGGAAACCTTCATTTGAGAAACTTGACACAAACTGGCTTTTTAGCCTCTTAGAATTTAATTGAAAAAGAACACCATAGAAAAACACAGCCAGATGCACAAATGTCTGCTCGTGGATTAGATTGCCATAAGCTTTATGATTCTTTCTCTGTGGTTATTGATCATTGAAATAGCCTTAGCAGTCAAGATTTAGCAAATCAGTGTGAATTAATAATTTTAGGTTGCAGTCTCAGAGATGTGACTAGGCTAACCATAATGTATATCACTGTTTTAAGTTTTATCCTTGCCATTCATTGTATTAAGAATGTGTGATGATTTTAGGAATATTTAACAGATTTGCTTTGCTGGAAAAGTTAATAAGTTCATTGGGCCACTGGTGTGTGGAAGTGATCTGTGAAGAAATAAATTCCTTCAGTTCCCACATAAGCATGTCACAAAAGAACCATACTGTGTTTTTTGGGGAATTTTACAGATCTCTTCAAGGAGCAGTTCAGAGTGGTTTCTAAGAGTGCTAAATGTGTATCTTAGTGCATGGATTTGGCTGGCATGGATTTGGACAGAGTGGGCCAAACAGAGCTAATTGAGGTGGGGGGAAAAATCGAGAGAACAGGCCATAATGGTGAATAGAGTTATTTGTCACCGAGTTTGTAATAGGATTTTCAATTAATTCATGCAGGCTTCCAATGCCTTACATTAGCCCTGTCAAGATGAACTACAGCCACATCTAAAATGCCATCCCCTATTAAACCGTGCATGTCAGTGAATTTGTAATTTCTTCTGTTGAACCAGAAGATGAATGGATTTCACTTAGAAAACAAATGTGTGCTTCAGAAATGCACATTTCGAAATCCCAATACTTCCTAGGAGGAACATTCTTTGCATTGCTATACAGTGAATATGTATTAAAAATGTAATTGCTATGTGAATTCATCCAAAAGGAAAAGCATCCAGCTGCATAGAGACGAATACATTTTCAGGTGCCGTGTTTCACTGGTGAGCAAGGCTTTTCATACTGGGCAGTGATGATGATGATAATAGTTCACGCATGTAGCACTTCCTAACTGCTGGGCCTTTTGTAGTGGTTTACATACATTAACTCACTAAATCCTCACAACAAGCCAGACAAAGAAATTGAGGCACAGAGAGGTTAGCTTTCTCAAGGTCACACAGCTAGTAAGTGGCTGAGCTGGGATTCAAACCCAGGCATTCTGGCTTCTGGAGTCTGTATTTCCAACCCTTACCTGAAACTCCCTGATCATGGTCCCATCAGCTATGTTCCAAGAGTTGGTTTATTATAGTACTTGTCAGTTCTCTGTCTCTGGCTCGATCACTCTTGCCCTCTTTCATAGTGATATTTGTTTCTGTGTTTATTTACTGTTATTTCCTCAAACCTATCTTGGGAAATATTGTTATATTATGATAACCAGACTTCCAGAAATAGGTAATAAAGTAGAGTGTGCAGTGAGGCATCTCTGTGAGAGTAGACAAAAATTAGAATCATTCCACAGAGTTGGACACTGAAGGGGATATAACTAAAGTTCACAGGATTGTGAGGCACCAGAGTTCCTGATGGACATTTCCCTTCTGCAGAAACCAAAGGGCACAGCAGAATTGTTTATAAGATTAGGTCATGGCCGGATAACAGGAGTCATGCCTTCATAGGCAAGATCTTAAGGCAGGGTCCAAAAGTCAGAGGGCACATGAGGGTTGTCAGAACTTCTGGAAGGCTCAGCTCCTGCCTCCTCGGGATATTGGCCTCTCGAGCAGCCCTCATTAACCAAACACAACATCACATGGATCAAGCCAACACAAGATGACTGCCAATAGCATTTTGAGAGCCAAGAATTGGCTATTCCTCTTAAGCCAAACAAAAATATTTAACAAAAAAAGTTTGGCTTAGGAGTAGGCCAGACTCTAAATCTCTGACTAGAAACCAAAGTAATTTTTTTTTTAATTTGACAGAGAGAGAGACAGCGAGAGAAGGAACACAAGCAGGGGCAGTGGGAGAGGGAGAAGCAGGCTTCCCGCAGAGCGGGGAGCCCGATGCGGGACTCGATCCCAGGACCCTGGGATCATGACCTGAGCCGAAGGCAGATGCTTAATGACTGAGCCACCCAGGCACCCCCAAAGTAATTTTTAAAAACTATATTATGAATTTCTGTTGCCTCTGGGGTATAAAACTTCGATCCATTTTTTGGGGGGCTTGGGGAGATGGAAGAGCCCAGGGAGAGGGCAGTACTATGAGTAGGGCTTCCTATTTACTTCATTAGAAAGATTAGGCTGTAAAAAATTTTTCAAGTAGTTTAGGCCTGTGCTTTGCACATAGCTGTCAGCCTGACCCCATTCTGTCCATTTTCTACTCTCATGCCTGACACTTGCTTCTTACCATGGCCATCTGTATTTCAAACCTGTGAGGGCTTGTCATTGCCTGATGGACATAGCAGTTGAACCTCTTTACATGTTATTCAAGACCCTCCATGAGTTAGCTTTTGCCTACTTCTACACTTTATATTCCATAATTCCTCTCCATGAACACTGCGTTCTTTATAAAACTCCAGTCCCTTTGCACAGCATGCTCGTGTCTTTGCTGGTGCTGTCCCCTCTGCTTTGAATGCCTCACTTTTCTCTTTTATTCTTCCACTCCAGCTTTGCCTGGCTAACTCCTGTGTTTCCTTGAAGACTTGGCTCATGTGTCATCACTTCCTCCCGGAGGGGTTTCATTTTCCCACCCACTAAACTCCAGAGACCTGCATGCTATGTCGAGTTGATTTTGACTAAAAATTATAATACAGTTAAATTTTCAGACATTTTTGGACCATCCTTTAATTAAAAACTCATCTTTTTCCTTAAGGGTATACCTCAGTTACCTTGTGCCAAAGCGTTGTACAACTACGAAGGGAAAGAGCCTGGAGACCTTAAATTCAGCAAAGGTGACATCATCATTTTGCGGCGACAAGTGGATGAAAATTGGTATCATGGGGAAGTCAACGGGATCCATGGCTTTTTCCCCACAAATTTTGTGCAGATTATCAAACCGTTACCTCAGCCCCCACCTCAGTGCAAAGCACTTTATGACTTTGAAGTGAAAGACAAGGAAGCAGACAAAGATTGCCTTCCATTTGCAAAGGTAAATTTAGAATGAGATTTTCTGTTTGTCAACTCTTCCTTCGGACCTGGATACACAGGAATATGGCTTGTATTTCCTTTTGTAAAAAGATAAAATAGTTTTAGTATTTCACTGTGCTTTTAAAAATACCTGGAAGCAGTTTTCTTAAAGTCATAAAAAAATAATTTTGTGCATAGGCTGTTCTTATATGAAAGATAATTTTGGTTGATGTTCTGTGTGTTATCATTTTCATATTTAGAGCCTAAATGTAATTCTAAGCCACTTTACAGGATGTGTGTGCCACTCAGGGATTTTAATTTACTGAATTATGAATAACAAAATGAAACATCATTATTTCCTTATTTTATACATAAATTTCTCTGCTGAAAGCACACAGGAGTATATCTACTGAATTGATAAAACGCTTTAGAACTTTAAGTAGATAAACACAATACTGTTTTTTTTTAAAAAGAAAAGCAGTAGGATATGCATTTAAATGGGCATTTGGTATATTATCAGAGAGAACATGAGAAGAGCCTGAGAATCAATCTAAAACAGAAGCTCAAGAGCCTGGGATGGGTAGCATTTGAAGTTGTAAAAAGCAGCGAGCCCCTGTATAGAGGGAGTACATAGTTTTACAACTGTCTGAAAGGACCAACTGTTTGATTGATAATGGCCACTTAGTTTGTGACAACATTGGATTCATGTACTAAAGACATGTTATAGCATTTTAATTCATGTACTCTTAAAACTTGGGTGGCCCCTTTATTGAAAAGGAAAATTAAATGACGAGCTTAACGTGGGATCAAGTAGACTAATGTTTGCTCTTTCTTCAGGATGATGTTCTGACTGTGATCCGTAGAGTGGATGAAAACTGGGCCGAAGGAATGCTGGCAGACAAAATAGGAATATTTCCAATTTCATATGTTGAGGTAAGTTAATCTGTAGAAAATTCAATCCTGGTAGTACTCAGCTTAGTAAACAAATCTTACTTATGCATTTTGGGTATTAAGATGTCCTCCCAGGGGCATCTGGCTGGCTCAGTCGGTAGAGCATGCGACTCTTAATCTCAAGGTCATTGGGCGTGGAGCCTACTTAAAAAAAAATTTTTTTTAGTTAAAATTTTTTTAAATTAAAAAAGAAGCCCTCACAATCATTTTGCAATATATACACAGAGCAAATCATTAGGTTGTACACCTTAAACAAATACAATGTTATATGTCAATTATATCACAATAAAACTGGGGTTAAAAAAAAAAAAAGACAAAAACCCAGCCTACAGAAGAAGGAGGAGGAGGAGGAGGAAGAGGAAGAGGAGGAGGAGAAGAAGAAGAAATCGTCTTCACCACACAAAGCACCAGGAATGCCCTGTTCCAGATCACTGGATGGATTAGGAAGAATTGCTCTATCCTGCCTACAATTACTGAAGACTCTGAAGTGTTTGAAACTCTTCACTGTGTCCCCCTGCTAAAAGCATTCCTGTGTCTTGTTAAATGTTACTGTATGCTTCCTATCAGTACCTATATTGTTTCCAGGTGTTCTATTCCATTTGCCAACTTTGGGAACAGAAGGTTGATAAGTTCTGAGTAAGGTGGGAGGTGAGTGTATGATTGTTTACTTATTTCTTTTCATTATCTGCCACATCATCAGAACTAGAACGGTGATTTGCAGAGTAGGCCTCTAATAAACATGACGTAAAAGAATGAATATTCCCCCATGTTATACCAGCAATACCTTAGTCCCTCCCCTCCCCTCCTCCCTTTTTAATCAGCTTTACTCAGGAAGGTTATGGCCAGCCTGATTCAGTGAAGTCTTTATAGAGAGTATGGTTCTGTTATTTTAAAGAATAACACAAATTAAAAATGAAATAGGATGTTACAATTTATTGTAACATTACATTATAAGCCTGCACTACATCATATGTCATAAGTATTCATGTCCTTTAGTCATAAGAATTTCTTGCTGAAAACAAATTGAAGGCATTTTTAAAGAATGAAACACAGTGCAAACAACGATACAAAGTTAGCTGAGGTCACAGAAGGATTCTAGAAGAAGTGAGTTCTTCGTGGATGTCTGTGTGATGGATAAATAAACGCTAACCAAGAGTAATAGAAAAGGTGCATTTTTATGGCAAGGAGAACATCCATGCAGGAAGACTGGCATGTGCAAGAGCCAAAAAGTAAGAGACAACAGGTGGTTTGGGGAAATTAAAAGTAATTCTGTCGTTTAAGATATCAAAGCATGTATCTTAAGCATGTAAAAAAGAAAAACCTCCATTACTTATTTTTCCATCTTTTTATCTGAGGCATTTGTTTTGGCATGATTTTGAAAACTAAAATGACAAATCCTGTCATTGTAGTTAAAGTTTTCATTAAAAATCAGTTTGACTACCGTACGCCCATGGAAAAATAATTCAAACCATGTATGAGCCTAGATTTTTATCCATATGTTCCTATTTATTGAAACATTTTTTTCTCCTTTGAAAGTAAACAACAGAAGAAAAATTCCTAACTCTCGGGCAATCCTTCCTGTATATTATTTTTATATTCTAGCTGTGGGTCATGGAAAATTACAAGCATTTCCAAGTATTTGAATAGTTACACTGAAAAGCATGGGTAAGCACGAGATTAGTAATGAAAGCTTGTCTTTACTTGTTAGGTATTATCAATATTACATGCCAATACTTGGTTTGTGATGCATGAAAAAGGATTGCTATACTTTTTTGTTATTGAGCAGGTGTAGAATTGTGCAGATAGGCGTAAAAGATCCACCCCTGGCAAATCCAGAGTCATTTTGAGTCACTCAGGTCATTAGGATTATTTATTCTAACTTAAGTTGGAAAGATAAACTTCTGCCCAAGTGGAAGGTATTTTCATTCTTCTGCCTCCTTTCTTTCAAATGAGTATTTTTCTCATTTGAACCAGAATTTTGCCAGTTGAGACGGGATAAACAAATCATCTATCTCTAAGAGACTATGAACACTTCTTTGATGTCAGGCCATCAGATTGAAGTTTCTGGTAGGAGCAGAGCATCTGGGGATTAGTAACACCTGGTTTAGCCTTCAGGGGAATTGGGGGGCGGATTTCGATAGCAACCTATCAAAATTCAACTATTTAAATAAAGTATAGACTGTGTTACAAGCAATCTTAGATGGGGTAAAGCTAACTCTAAGGAATCAAAAACTGAGCCTTTTTCCTGAAATGGTCTTTCTCTTGCTCCGACCCATTTAGGGTCCAGACTAGCCCCAGTATAAAAACAGGCTGTGTTACAAAAGGCCAGGTGTAAAACATTCTCGTGTATCTTACAAATGTACATTTAAGTCTCCATGATTGTTAGGTGCTTCTGCTTTTTTCACAGTGCTCCAAAAACTGTTACCTTCCCCCCTCCCCCAGATGTTCTGGGAGGATCAAATGTATAACCTCTTTTGAAGGGTCTGGCACTGCTGTGTTTTATGCATAGTGGTTTGGAGCTCAGATTAGACTGTAACCCAGAATAGGGCAGAGCATAGTAATGATCAAATAAAAGAATCTCACTACTACATAAAATGAAAGAAATGAGTTCAGAATTGAATTCTGAGTCTCAGAGTGACATCTTTGATCTCCACAGGCCTGTCGGCAGAAGCGGGAACTCCCCCTCAGCTCCTGCTGGTTGGCTTTGCTAATGGAAATGCTCAAGGAACGTGGTTGTGGCAGAAACCCTACACAGAATGGGCTTAGGGATAGGATTGTGGACCTGGAGTAGAATCACGGGGTCAGGGGTTCAGCTGTGGAATTAGGGGGTGGGATAAATTGAAAGGAGCTGAGTATTAGAGGTGGGTAAAGAGAATTGAGTGGGAGGATTGAGACATCGAGAAATAGAAATGCTGCTGGAATAGTTTACCCTTCCTTCTTGTCTTCTTTCTCTTTCTCTTCTCCCTTAACATCCCATAACTGTGTAGTACAATCTGCACCTATATTGGAATAAGGTAATAAAACTGTGGTCTGGTATAGCCACAAACAAATGACCTTTTATTAAAGTACAAAATTCTTCACGGTTTGAACAGAGTGGGAGGCTCTGGTTAAGGAGAATGAGTAGGGCAAAGAATGGCTGTATAAGTGGCCTTGATTTCTTCCCTTGGAGCCTTTGTTTAGGCTCCTAAGATTGAGGTTGAGCCATAGAGGTTGTGGATTCTCTTCTGCTTAGACAGGATCTGCCTAGACTTGAGCAAGCTGGAAATTTGGAAGGGGCAGGGGTTTCTTAGGGAAATCTGGGGAATTCTTGAAGACACCATGCCAGGATATGTATAAAAGGGTGTATTTGTCAAGGACTGAATGCAGTATAAAAAAGAAATCAGTAGCTTTCTTCTTTATTTGTTCAAAAATACCACTCTTCTGCAAAATAGGATGGAAGACTTGAACAATGTCATTAATTCAGAGCTGAGTCATTCAAGTTTAGCAGTCGTTTGAACAAGTATGACATGATTCTTAGCAAGCAAAAAAGTTTGAATGAAGTAAATGCTAAATATGGGATTTGGGGTGTTCTCAACCATTGTGCATTGTAGGTTCTGGTGAACTATACATTTTTATTAATTTTATCATTTTATTTTGATTCTTAGTCATTCATTGCAAATATCACTTGCCCAGTTTTTTTTAACAGCAACAAAAAAATTATTTAGCAACCTGCTCCTCTGCTATATAGATGTAATATAAAAATAAGCATTCCTTATGTGCAGATGTAATGAAGTAGGTATAGCCCAATAGACAACTATGCTTACTCCTTAATTACTGCCAGAAAGAAGGGCTATGTTTCTCATTTTTTAGATCTCTGTCACTTCTTCTGACAGACTTTTCCTCACCACCTTATCTAAAGTAGTTCCTCCTTTGCCAGTTGCTTTACCTTCCACACCTGGTGGTGTGATTGTGAGGAAGAACTTGGACTCTGAATCCAGACGGCTGGGATTCAAGTCTTTGCTCTACCACTAAGTGTCTAAGTGACTTTGGTCCTCGTCTCTTCATTTGTACGATAGAACTACTTCATACGGTGGGTTAATTCCAACGATACTTAAAAGCAGCGCTGTAGTGCCTAGTCAGGGCTGTTTAAGTGATAGCTATGATTATTATCCCCATTGTTATTATTCCTTTATAGCATTTTATATTCTCTTCAACTATTTTGAGTTACTTGTTGATGTGGTTACTGTCTCCCTGCCCCTATCAGGAAGTGAGCTCCTAAGGGTAGCACCTTATCTTCTTTCTGGTTTACCTTGGTCCCTTGAGGTCCTTGTATAGCACCTGCCCATTATAGGCTCTCAATAAATATTAGCTCTAAGAATGAATGAACAACCTAACAACCTTTAGAGTGAAAGGTTTTAAACCAAAACCAGACTGGTTTCTAGATGTTGACAAGTTTTACATTTTTCAGCTAATACTCCCATCTTTCACTACCTAGGCATCTAGTTCATCATTGATTTATCTTAGTGTTATTTCAGGAAGTTCCATTTCTCAACGCCTAAAAGGTCTGTTGTGTGACCTTAGTGAGATTTTTTTTTCTTTTTAATTAATGAGGTTGGGTGAGTATTTGGTTGTGCCTACTTTAGAATTTTTCCAGACCAAATAATGGTAACCGTATTCTGTGGATTAGATCTTGAAGCCTTTACTGATTATTTATCTCTAATATACAGATGACTCCCTAGTACTTTCTGAGATGAATTTTCACCTGCTTAGGATTATTCCTTTGGCTCCCTTGAGGAGAGCTGGGTGACCTTATTGTCAACGTTCTTCATTTTTTAAAATAACATTATTGGGTTATAAGTGCTATACAATAAGCTACACATATTTAAAGTATACAATTTGATGAGCTGTTATTTGCTGTTTTCAACTTTTAGGAGAAAACCACAGGCAAATCTTGGGAGATGTTTCCGTGGCTAGGGAAGAGAATTAAGTGCTCTCAGCCTTAA